TGTGTGTGTGTGTGTGTGTGTGTGTGTGTGTGTGTGTGTGTGTGTGTGTGTGTGTGTGTGTGTGTGTGTGTGTGTGTGTGAGGCTTGTGGAGAGCTGCAAGAACAAAATGAAAGGCACATGGACAACCACAATCAATGTAGCGAGCCTTGTGCATGAGAGGCACGGTAAAGTGAGAGCTGCAAGAACAAATGAAAGTGGTACCCCGAAGAAAGCAAATGTGAACACATTCACGGAAGGGGTTTACATGCAGCTATTGTACTTCCTGTTGCTTGCTATTGAGATGAAACTGTGTTATTGTGTGTGTGTGTGTGTGTGTGTGTGTGTGTGTGTGTGTGTGTTTTGAATATTCACCACAACAGCCCCTATTCCACCCAGATGAGAAGATCCAAAATCAAAGCATATTTAACCTACTACTACAGACAACAAAAGCCTCGAGTTCAGACAACCCAACAATAACACAGTTTCATCTCAATAGCAAGCAACAGGAAGTACAATAGCTGCATGTACAGCTGTAAACCCCTTTCGTGAATGTGTTCACATTTGCTTTCTTTGGGGTACCCCTTTCATTTGTTTTTGCAGCTCCCCCTTTACCGTGCCTCTCATGCACAAGGCTCGCTATGTTGATTGTGGTTGACCGCGAGCTGCCCACACCCCCTTGTGCCATAATGGCCCACTTGCACACTATGAAAGGAGGCAGAGTAAAGGCAGAGGTATATTCCTGTTCATTTCTTCTCAGATCTTAAACTTGTACTTTCTGTTCGTAATGATGCTCATTCGTATGTATTACTAGTAATACACAACAGGAGGGAGGAAGGAAATGGGAGGTGGAGTTCTGACAGGGTTCTAAATAGTGACCGCTGGTGCAGACCACATGAGGCCACAGGGTGTGGGTTGCATAAGATTTGAGGTGCAGTTGTTGCCTATGGTAAGTGGCCACCTCTACAGACCGGGTAGGACCGGTTTGCGTGTGGACTGTGGAAGCACCACACCCAATTCTCTCAGTCACATACTGCATTGAACGGCATGGCGTAAACAGATGAAACAGGCTACATGGCTCCTAGATGTTAGGAACACAGAGGCACGTAAACCTTGAAGTACAATAGCCGCAAGTAATCAAAGGGTTGGGGGGGGGTGAGTACAAGGATTGCAGTTTTCGTGGCAGAGGGTTAGCAGCGACCGTCCCTTCATAGTGTTTGGACCAGAGGCGCTATGCCGTGCACATGCTAGCTGGACTGTACCTGTGTGACGACACAATAGGAGGAGGGCACAATCTCCATCGCCTGGAGAGGCACCTTCACAGTTCGTGGTAGAATCTGTCCGATCCACACAAGGAGGGGATGCTGCCTGACCATGCACAGGGGAAGGACGAGGTTCATCCGGATTGCTCTCCAGACTCCGGAGGCAGTAGTGCTTGCGAGTGCTCATCGCCATGCCGTTCCTGATGGATGAGCCAGACAGAGTGATGTTCTTCCGCTTGGTGATAGAAAGAGTTGATATTTCCCGCTGCGTGCACCCTACCGCCATTGTCCCATAGGGCCCATGAGTTATCCGTGAAGGTAAGAGCGCTGAAATGACCTGGACGATGTAAGGTGTATGCCCAAATATTTGGATCCATGCCTGGCATGTGATTTTGCGGAGTAGTCTGGAGTCGTAGTCGCCATGGACAGGACTATGTTCACGCCAGGTGCAGACGGAACGGTGCTCTTCTTCTATCCACAGGACAACGTCTGCAAGATCAGAAACAGTATAAGGGTTGCAATTGTAGGCAAGGAGACGCACATTAATGGCCTAGTACACACAGCGCCCTCGCTGCAGCACTATGAAATCATCCAATTCTGCAGGTTGTGTGGCAGGGGGAGTTTCATCCAATTCTCCAGAGTGCACGCAGTCTTGACCATTTCTGTCACGTTCCTCCGGCTGTATTACGTGCTCTAGACAGAGACAGATCTTCTGGAATCGGGGGCTCCATCAGGTGATCAGAAGGTGGCTCATTATCATTTGAGGCAGGGGAGCATTCAGGGTCAGATAGAGGTCAGATACGGGAAGCAGAGGTTGATCAGCCGCACTTGTGCTCAAAGTGGCTGCTAGTCGTGCAAATGCTGTGCAGGTAGCTGCACCTCGTGTCTGGTGCACACGCAGGCCTGCAGCACTGAAGAAATCATCGCCACATTGCGGGCATCGGACTCGATATATACTACTCCTGGCTTGTGTGTGTGTGTGTGTGTGTGTGTGTGTGTGTGTGTGTGTGTGTGTGTGTGTGTGTGTGTGTGTGTGTTTAAGATTTCCCCCACAACAGCCCCAATTCCACCCAGATGAATAGATTCAGAATCAAAGCAGTCTTTGTCCTATTGCAGACAACGAGAGCATTTGAGATGTCCAACATATTAAAGCAATTTTTTAATTAGACAGTTTTTTGGTTGTCCTTGGGGCACCCCTTCCGTTGTTCTTGCAACTCCCCTTTTACTGTGCCTCTTATGTACAAGGCTGCCCACGTTGATTGTGGTTGAGCAACAGCTGCCCACATCCTCGTGTGCCTTCAAGTCCCACTTGCACATTATTTCAGGAGGCGGAGTAAAAGGGAAGGTATGCTCCTGTGCATTTCTCTTGAGACCATCATACTCCTGTTCATTTCACTTCAGATCTTCGGCTTATACAGTCTTTGTGTCCGTCCCTCATCTTCATACTTCCGTTCATTTCATTTCTGATCTTCATATCATCTGTTCTCTTAATGATGTTCATTTGTATGTACTTGTTAGTAGCACAAGGGGAGTGGAGGCGGAGTTCTATAGGAGTATGGGGCAGGGGAGGTGGGGGCAAAGGGCACGAAAGAAATATGTGAAGGGCAGAATAGAGTATGACATGCAAAGGGAAGGAGGGAGGTGTATGACGAGCTTCGCAGAATTCTAAATATTCACTGCTGGAACAGACTACTCTAGAATGGCACAGGGTTGCAAAAAGAAATTGTGGGTTGAAGAGCAGTGAATGCCTATGGCAAGTGGCCACCCCTATAGACCAGACAGGACCGGTTCTGGTGTGGGCTATGGAAGCACCGCATCCAATTTTCTCAGTCACAGCTATGTGGGTGTGTGTGTTGTCGTATTTGCTATACACTCAAAAAAAGCATGACTCTGTGTGTGTGTGTGTGTGTGTGTGTGTGTGTGTGTGTGTGTG